TTTTCGCAAGTAAAATTTAAGATTATGGTAATCTCAATCTTTGTCTTATAATGACAAAAGGAAGACAAAACAACGTAACTTTAAAATGGCGCTATATATTTTATTACGACAAGTATAAATGTTCATATTTTTTTCTGAAAAGCTACCTGTACATAAGTGTGGAGACTTTGTTTAATAACGTCGTTAGCAAAAAGCTTTTGCTTTTCAACAGATTATTGTGATGTTTCAACCAATACAATTGTGAAGAATATACTTTTGGCCCTGGAAGTACAGTATTTCTATATTTTTTAGAATCCCTATTTTGATATGTAGCATCTTTCCGCTCGCTTTCCCGCAATTTGTGGGAGTGATTTCGTGAAATAGGACGGAAGTGTGTAACAGGAAGTCGCGAAAGCGCGCGCTATTTGCTTTGATTTTAGAACATAATGTTCAAATGGCCTATTGCTTTTGTAGTAGGTTTTATTTCTTTTTTTACTAATATAAGATGAGGTTTCAAATGTTACACATCATACGCGACTACTGTAAGGCTCGCTCGTTTTTTTTTATATTTCTTAGATTATAAATATCTACAAGTTAATTAATCGCGAGTGTTTAGCAGCGAAGCATAATTAATAATAAAACGAACTTACCTGTACGTGAAGTTCTATTATAATTATGTGAGCTGCTCAATTCGAAACGATTAATGGCTACGACCCACCCTTTTTCAATTTCCTTTGCCCATGATAGCCGACTGAAATCAGTTTTGCAATTTGTTACTAATTTAACTAGATATTATTACAGGCATTTACAGGGTTCTTTAAACATAATGAGTTTTTCTTTTAATGGCAGGACCATAATGACTTTTAAGTAAGCGCGCACTGAGCAGACCCAGGAACTTTTTAAATTCTGGCTTTGGACAATCGTGACTGACCATAGGTGCTAAGGCAGAGTTTTAAAGTTAATTAACCGCTTCGAATTGAGCAGCTCACATAATTATAATAGAACTCTACGTACAGGTAAGTTCGTTTTATTAATAAATATATTTTATTTTAAAACATTTTAAGTTTACACCAAACAAATATTTGGTCTAATCTCATCCTCATAAAAATAACATATGTATATATTTTTGGTTACTTTTTTTAATTTTTGGCCGACTTTTGATTAATATTTTTAATACTTATATGTTTTTCTGAATAATATTCGATTTTTTTATTAGTGACACCAGCAAAAAAACATTCAAATAAATTATACATTCCATAACGATATAAAATATCAACTGATATATCTTGCAGTTTGCATAAATAATTCATGTTCGATAAATGATGATGTATGTTCTGAATAGTTTGAACCTGCTCCTTAATTATGCCAATAACCAGAAAAAGATAACTGCTCTACACTGTTGTTCATCAAATGCGTATCAATAGTTGTACCCAAATTGTCACATTTCGGAAGCCCGTCATTTCATATTACAGCAATGAGGGCTATCGTTTTTTGTCTCACCAGATGGCGCCACCGTTGAGTGAGGTCTTGAAGTGTAGCTTTTAAAGTTAGTAAACACGCTCGTGATATCAAACTTTACATTTTAATACAAAAGAATCGTATCTTAAACATAATCGCCCATGCCACAGTGTTGCGCAGTCCAGTTTTGTTCGGAAAAAAGAAGGACAATATTTTTTCTTAGCTCCGCTTTATATAACTGACAATCATTGACACGTAACTCATATTTGCCATAATAAGTCTGATTTATTACCAAATATTCACAACTATTATTTTAATTAGCAAAAAACCGCGTAGTCAACCCGCAAGCTATAACATTTGACATTTCGGAGACCTCACGCAACACAAGCGCCTCTAGCGGCGGTTTCAGACGCGATAGCCCTCATTGTAAACAGTACTCATTAATATAACAAGGATCTAAATTCAACACTTAACGGCCACCGTACCTATGCCCACGTGAAATTTTAAAGAGTTTTTATCCCTTTCAGCAGGCCTCAATTTCAGGTGGTTTTTGGAATCAAAATTTTAAGTAATTTTAAAGTGTTACCAAGACGAGCCAAGTATGACACGTTAATACCAGAAACACCAGATAGAACTTTTATCAGGCAGCATCAAAAATGTGAAAGATATTAGGCGAATCAAAAAGGAATTCGATTCTAATTTATTTCAAACAAAATACTTGTTACAGAGACTCAAAAAGAACAATTGCATAAATATCTCAATGAATGACTATTTGAGAAGATTGAAATTGGTACATCTTATAATATGGCTCAAACAAAGTCAATTCTCAAAGACTCTCTCAAATTGTTCGCGACATCATTGCTATCAGGAAACTTTCAGCTGAGACGTGCATTACCGTGGTTCATTTGGCCAGTTTACTTTTCTATGGCAAGCTAAATGGCGAACTTCACGCTTCGTGTCAGCCAGAAGATCACAGAACCATAATTTTCTGCACATAGTTTCATCATGCGACACAGTTTATTTTCATTTTATGAAAAGAATATGAATATTTATAATATTAAAAGATGGTTCAACAAATCTCATGTTGCTTAGACTCTTCTGATGAGTCTAGGTATCTAACAACCTCATAAAATTAATAGGCAAAAAAACATTGTTCTACGCTGAATGAATATTTCATCATAAATTTTTAACAATAATAAGATGTGAATAAGTAGCTCCATATCTTATTGACAATCAAGTGGCTCAGTTCGAGATGAACTTAAGTCAGGGACAATTTGATAAAACAACCGGTCAGGCTAAATTAAGTACCTACTTAACTTTCATAACTAGCATTAGTAATCATATTTTTTTCATCAACGATCTAAAAGTATTAATTATACTTATAAAATCTATGTTGCCGATCACCTACATAAACCATAAAATATGCTGTTAATGTATATACGTAAAATTATCTAATCATTATAATAAATGCAAATATTTTTATTATTATTATTTTATTAGAATAATATATTCAGTAAATATCGACTTAGTAATAATAGTAAATAAACAATAAAATGTACCAATATAAATGTAGAATCCAAGCAACGAATTTCATTACTTGTTAACAGTTAAGGTATAGACGCAGTAACAAAACTCGTAACATGAGAAATCTCGAAAGTTGAGACCACTAAAGTATAACACAAAAGTAAACAGCAAACACTAGATATATTACCACATTCGCAATAAACTACTAAAGACTAATGATACCCTTAGATGATTGCAATGGCTCTAAAACTAATATAGTAATAATACCTTGTAAAAAAACCATTAACATTTTAGCAATTCGCAAATTTCGTTCTCAATAAGTCTCACGACATATAAGCGTTATTTTATAATATTACTAACGGCCCGCCCTCGCTTCGCTTCGGTGTAGAGCTGAAGTGTAGACTACAGTTTTTGTTCTCAGGCTTGTATTATACACAATGACATTCATTTATGATTCTTCTTATACCTGCATGCAAAGTCTCAGCCCGCTTATTTCATGTATAAGTTTGGCGTTTCTGTACCGATTTCTATGATTCTTTTTTTATTGAATAGGTAATAATGTTAACTTTTTTAAATTAGGGATGAGTGAGAGTATTATAAACGTAAGAGTAAACAAATATAATCAGAATGCTCCGAACTGCTAAGCTATCAGGAGTTACACGTGTTATTGTGAGTCAACCATAAAAGATAGACATATGCTGTTGCGGGATATTTTTTAGACAATTTTATGTAAAATATTTCCGTCATACATGATTTCTATGTAACTTTAACCATTAAGGCTGCACACGCGACGGAAGCTTAAAATGGAGTAACTTCTCGCGTTTTCCCAACATTTCCCTTCACTACTCTGCTTCTATTGATTGTAGCGTGATGAAAAGTATACTATAACCTGCCTAAGAGTATGAAGAATAATTGTACCAAGTTTCGTTAAAATCCGTCGAGTAATTTTTGTTTCTATAAGGAACATACATACAGACAGACAGACAGACAAAAATTTTACTGATTGCATTTTTGGCATCAGTATCGATCACTAATCACCCCCTGATAGTTATTTTGAAAATATATTTCATGTACAGAATTGAGGTCAATTCTCTCAACAGATTTATTATAAGTATAGATATACAAATGAACACTTAAATGTGTTCGCACAAGAATAAAAGTCAAATAAACAAGGTCAGTGATGTAATGGAGTGTGACGAAGACAATATTGATAACAATTCCAAGCTGCTATGATGATAAACTATATAAGTAAACGTCATGTTAGACCAACAACATCATCATGTATGTAACTTACTACTTTATTCATGGTGAGGATCAACAACATGTTTGGAGTATGACAGAATTCACTCACAAAGAGAAATTAAAAAAAAACACCGTAAGCAATTTTTGTCGTGTAAAATCAATGAACTTCTTTTAAGAATTCGCACAATATGTTACTGAAAAATTAGCACCTTTATTGCTCTACCAACCAGCAAGAGATATTCTCTTATTTTATTGGTTTATGACTGAATATTAAGTTCTTTTAAAGGTCAGTTTTAAGTTAATAAGAAATCTCCAGAAAATCATTGGCATTGTCGATTCTTTGTTATACTTATGTTTCTCTTTTATCAATTTTTATGATTGTTGTGATAAAAGTCCCGAAAATCCAACATACTTCAATACAACAAATTGAAAACCTAGCGAAGTGCTGGCATTAGTGATATGAATTTCCAAGAGTTACTTCCCACCAAAGCAATTTCTTATTAATTAATTAACTTTTTGTTCCTGCGTTAGTATTAAATATAATGTACGGAACCTAAAGGATGACTCTCTATCCGGCTGACGACCAATTGCATTCAAAAAGACTTCATGGGGGTACGGTGGCTAATAAGAAATAAATAATAAGATATTCAGCCTGTACTGAAGAGGCGAAGTTAGTTTTGATCATCATACATCATTCATTTAATAGTGTTGAACTTTATTGAAAATACCCATACGAACTGAAATTCACATTACAAACGTGATGTGGATTAACATAGAGGTAAAATTTGTTCGCTTACCGTTGGATGGACATGGGGGTGCGAGTATAACTGCATTCTTCGCGTGTCCACAGTGTAAGTGTTGACTGGTACGTCGTTCATGTTGAAAGCCCTTGGGTACAAGCTGCGGGTCAACCGTGCGACCGCGTCGCTGTCCCCGTCGAGGCTTGCCCCATCACTGTTAGCCACTGCGAATACCAATACAATAATAACGTTAGACTTCAGATCCGACCGATTACATCTACACCCAGGATTACTTAAATGATCAAAGCGCCTGAATGGGTGGTAGAAAACAATTTGGAAAAGAGAAAAACAAAAAGAGTTTTCTAAAAGTACATTGGGAAGAAATGTCCCCAGCCCCCAACAGATTTGAAACCAGTTTCGTTTGAAGCGTCTAGTAGGACAGATAATTTCTTACTTTGGTGACATACTTCAAATATATGGAGTTTAGATTTTATAAATACTAGAAGTGCCTTGTAATTTCACCGCATTAATTTAAGGAAATAGGTTATAGTGAGTCACCCTTAAAATATAGAAATATGCTAACGTAGACTTTTTTATAGAACTGTTAAAGGAGAACAATTCCGTCATATACGATTTATGTGTAACTTTTACCGTTTAGGCAGCGCACGCAACGAAAGCTCATAAATAGAATATTTTATCATATTTGCAACATTTTTTATTGTTGCTCCGTTCCTTTTGGTTGTATCTGTATGTTATAAAGCAAATGCAAATAAATGCACTATCCAACACAAAAAAAACAAATCGGATCAGTAATTAACGACTTTACTTGACATTGATTGACTAATTTTACTTGACATTGGCTGAACACACAAACCGTGCATGCCATAAAAAAAAGAAAAAGAAGAAGAAGACTACGTAAACTGATTTTTTTATACTTACGGTGAAAACGGGCATAAATTGCTTAAGTTTATATTCAATTTGTTTTTATTTACCTAAGTAGCCAAAATTTTGCAATGTGATTCAGTACACGACTACTACTAATTATAGAATGTTCATAGATTTTCTCATTTTTGCGCCAATCGGTGTTAAATATTTTTGTATTATTAATTAATGGAGTGGGTTGATAAAGGTAACCAAATTGCTGTGCTATCATTAAACAATACTTTGTTTGGAGCCAAATGCAATTTTTGAAGGTCCATCCGCTTGGTATTAGTCGCATGTTTGTGTAAGTATTGATAGGTACAATGAAACCTTTGTCTGTGACAGATAAAATCTGGCCGTCCATAGTATTGGTACGAAAAAGGTGATTTAAGTAGTACAGGAAAGAAAAAGTGTTGTTGTATCTGTTGATAGTACGATATATGAAATACGGCTGATACCAAGCTTTTAAAGTGTCTGGAATATGACTGACGGCTCCATACCCACTTTGTGCTAGATGATCACTGCAATCCTATTTTCTATAACACTATTCCATATTGTAATTTGGTAATGAACAAGGAAAAATATGTGAAATGGCGCAAAATCGAAAGAAGTTTTTAGAATAATATGTGTTCCAAATTCCAAATAATTAAAAAGTTATAAAAAAGAAGTTTTTATGTAACAGTATTATTTTATGAGCCAGACTAGTTATAAGAGGGCAGTCAATTATATAGAAAGCAAAGATGGCATTTGGCATCAAACATAGTACTACCTTCTTTCGATGAAAAAAAATCTGGGATATACCGAAGGAAACACATGTTGAATCAAGTAAATAAACAAAAAGTAAAAGCCCAGAGGACGTAGTAGTACCACACCAAAAACTAAATTTTTTGCTTGCGGACTACTCGCATAAAGATAAGCGAATAATTATATTTTGCTCAAAAGATGCACAAATTCGTCTAAAACTATTAACGTGAATGGGACGTATCAAGCTTGTCCGACGTATTTTCGGCAGCTATATTCAAGCGGATATGAATAGCGACTCCAATAGTACCAAATATGGTGTATGCCTTTATGACATATATAACGACAGAGGCGTATATTTTTTATTTAATTAGAGCACAGGTTTCAAACTGACAGACCATAAGAGTCATGACTGATTTAGAAAAAAATAAACTTAATGCTTGCATTCCCAAAAACGAATGTGTAAATTCACGATAGAATTATTAATTACATTATGGTGTGAACTAGATTTACTCCCTGAAAACCATATATTTAAATGGCTGGGACTATATTAAATAGGAGAATGACTATTTCTGCAAAATTTGGTGTGTTTATCGGCTGCAACCATCGCACCAACAATAGTATAGAAAGTTGGAAACTCAAAATCAACACAAATATTAATAACAAGTGAGATAAATCTCTTACAGATTTTACACATTTTACAACAAGAGTCATCTCTGACATCGCTTAATAATGACCGTTTAAACAGATTAAAAAAAGTTATCACTTTAACTCTGAATAACAAGCATTGAAAATGACAATAACATTTTATTCGTACAGCAGCTTGTTAATGACGAAATTAGCATTGGTCACTTTTTAGAAAAATTACGATGAGCATATATATTAGGTCCTTACATATGAAATTAGCATTTTGTCGTACTGACTAATTTGATCTGTAATATCTCCTCTTTGTTTAAGAATCCCAAATTCAATAAATTCATTTAGCTGGTACATTTGAGTTTTGAAAACAGTCTTTCATTTTTTTCCTCATTATTTTTTTCTTCGGGGTCCCTTATTACCGCACAATGGATACCATGAAATATCGGTATATTTACGAGTACGAGTTCTACCGTGGCCCCAGTGCCAAACAGCTCCAAAGATTAATTATGTGCACGGCGCTGGTGTCGCAAAAGAAAGCACGGTACGTTTTTGGTTTCAACGTTTTCGTTCGGGAAATTTCACCTTCAGAACCAACCCCGTGGACGGCCAGAGAAAAAAGCGGAAAATGAAGAACTAAAGGCTTTTGTGGAAGTAGATCCATCACAAAGCACTTCAGAGATAGCTGCAGGCTTCGGGGTAAGTGATGAAACTGTACTAATACACTTGAAGCAAATCGGGGAAGTAAAAAAACTTGAACGATGTACCTCATGAATTGAGTGAATCGAACTTACAAACACACGTCGACTGCTGTGTGACTTTGCTCAACCGACACAATAATGAAGGGATTTTAAATCGAATCATTACTTGTGATGAAAAGTGGATACTGTACGGTAAACGGAAGCGCTCGTTGCAATTGCTGAACCCTGGAGACCCAGCCAAATCCTGCCCTTAACGAAAATTGACTCAGAAAAAGTTACTTGTGAGTGCTTGGTGGACTAGCGCCTGTGTCGTTCACTACAGCTTTCTAAAATCTGGCCAAAAGATTATGGCAGATATCTATTGTCAGCAACTGCAAACGAAACAACTACAACAAACCATGAAGGAAGAACTAGCTGCTAGACAACCGAGATTGGTCAATCGCTCTAGGCCACTGCTGCTTCACTATAACGCAAGACCACACACTGCACAACAAACAACCACTAAGTTAGATGAGCTACAATTGGAATGTCTGCGACATCCACCTTACTCCCCGACATCGAGATCTTTTTACAAGGAGAAAAATACAACTCCGATGCGGCAGTCCAAACCGCCTATAAAGAGTTTATTGATTCTCGCCCGAGTTGTGAATTTGCCATTGCAAGTCAGATACCTAAATATTAAAGAGGTGTAAGGTAAGGTGATAAATTAACAGATGTAGCGTACAACAACTGTATACTTATTAAAGTACTCCTTATAAACAATTTTTAGGCCATGTTTTAAGGTGGTAGCAGTAGAACCAAACTTTGATGTGAACTTGTACGGGAGCATACAAGATAGAACTGACCATGGGAGAAGTAGTCCTGTCGTAAGTCTACTCGGGCGAATATGTTCATGCGACTTATTTATTGTCATGGCAAAACAGACCTTCAAGGGCAACGATATTAAATGCCCTAGATACACTACGTGCACTCCATTATATAAAAAAGAGACAATGGAACCCATAAATCACATGTGAAAAAGACCCTAGTGAGTAAAGGTACAACCTATTACAAAGTGGAAAACTATTTAAAGGATCGTAATGCATGGAAATGCCTTTGCTTTAATTTGTTAACTTTTGTTTGTGTATGATTATTTATTTATCTCTTTTATTAATTACAAAAAACTGTAAGCTGTCTCGTATATTTTTTTTTTATGTTTTGGTTATTTTATTATTAGTGGCCCGCCCTCGCTTCGCTTCGGTTTAGAGCTGTAGTTTAGACTATAGTTTTTGTTCTCAGGCTTTTATTATACACAATGACATTCTTCTAATACCTACAATAGGCACGCGCCGCCAGGCCCCCCGCCCGGTAACGTCGGAACCACTATATTAGTGGAGTGCCTGAGGGTTTATACCTCGGATGTTTGTAACAATGAATATTTTTTAATGATTGAAATGGAATGTTGTTATTTATACTATAAATTACAAAGTTTACGTAAAATTTATTTGTGCTTTTGACGTGACAACGTCTTAAATTAGGTGGCGGCTGGGAGTCACTTATGAAAAAGTGTAACGCTCGGTAACGTTACGATGAGTCTCTCGTGTTAAGTTTAAGTTTACATGTACAATGTTTTAGTAAACAAAATATATTTCTATAGTTAAAATTTGTGCAATTCTTATTTTCATTCAATTCCTTGTTCCTATTGTGCAATTTAATTATATTCATATCAATAAATATTCTACCGAGAAAAAGACGTTGTCACGTAAAATCTTCGCCCGTAAAACCGACTTTACAGGCAACCATTTTTTTATTTCTTTTTTTTTAGATCAAAAAATACAAACCATTAACATTCGAGCATACGAGGGGAGATCAATAAGTTCGCGGAATGGAGGGGTTGGTGGAGGTAGATTTACTCGTCCAAGGCACTAGTTGAGCACCTCATTAAGAGTATATATGCCAAGTTTGAACCTAATCGGGTCATTAACTTTTATGTTATCGACCTGCAAACAACTGGATCGGGAAGAACTCAGCCAGTATGGAGAAAATTGAACACCCCGCCGTTATTAAGTTCCTTACCAAGCAAGGAAAATCCGCTCAGAATATTTTTCAAGAGCTGTTGGCGGTTTACGCGTATAGGATAACTAAGGTCAGTGCAAGATGGGTTCCGAGAATGCTCACGCCATGCGCCACTTCAAAAACGCGAGCATGTCCAGTGTTCTCGTCAGGTTTTGGAGCTCTGTAGAAAGAGAAAGGAAGAAGTTATTGCCCGAATCGTTACTGGTGATGAAACCTGGGTTCACCACTATGAACCTGAGTCAAAGCAAGAGTCGATGCTGTGGCATAAAAAAGGCACACCTCCTCCAAAGAAGTTCAAAGCGAAAATAGTTGTTTCAATACACCACTTATTATTCAAATAAATGAGGTCGAAAGAAAGAAAGAAAGAAAGAAAGAAATTTTATTTGTAACAACATGTGTAAGTAAGATTGTCAGTGATAATTAGCTAAGTACATAACATGTTGTGCCCATATCGGCATACAAATTAATTATTATTTATATTCATTATTATCATTCTAAGATTCAAATTACAAAATGAAAAGGTCAATAATGTCAATACAATAAAAAATGACAATAAATTGGGCAAACACTTTAAATAATATGTCAATACTTTCAAAACAATCATAATCAAATATCAGTAAATTGGGCAGAAACTGTTAATATATGTCAAACTGTCAATTCAATAATTGAATGTCAATAAAATTGGGCAACTAAACAAAATACTCGAAGAAGATTGTTATTTATTTAAAAATTTACAGTTTAAATAATTAAATATTTTATTGATAATAGAGTTTTTATTAGCAATATACTGCGATTAAAAGGAGCCTATTTGTGCGCCACGATTAATAGCTGAAAATAGGCAATAACTTAGAGAGATCGTTTTGATGGTAACTAAAACAATCGATATAATATTTAGAGATGTCTTTTAAAATGATAAAGTTCGTGTTTTTATTTTTCCCAAAGGTTGACTAGGAGAGAATGCTTTTAGCATAAATTCCGCATTTTGCACCAATGTTATATATTTCGGTCAATAAAATTTAAAAATAAATAAATAGATAAAGCAATTATTATTGCTATATTGTTTCTCTATTATATTATGCATTTATTATACACATAAACTTTCCTCTTGAATCACTCTCACACCGTTGTGTAGTTTTTAAGATCTAAGCATATATAGAGACAGACAGCGGGAAGCGACTTTGATTTTTATTATGTAGTGTTTAGTAGTTGGAGAATTCATGCTCTTTTTAAAGTCTCTGCGGTGGTGTCGTGTGAGGCGGGTCGTCACGTTCCCTAAAATATGGTTGAGCGAAGCGATGGCTGGTTCATACGTCATGCCCGTGAACGGGTAGTGCCAGTGGGAATGTGTCTGCTCTGTACTATATTATATACTTATTTGGATGTTACGTTGCTTAAATGGTATTCCATTTTTTATTTGTGCTGTATGATAAGGTATTCTTATGTCTAGTTTGTTTAATATGAATTACGATTTATTTGTGAGCCGTTCGAATTCAAATGGCTGCAGGCTGGTTCATCGTCATGCTCGTGAACGGGTGCTGCCGAGGCGGGGGTAAGTCTGTTCTATACTGCGTTACTATTGAGATGTTATCTATGTACGGTCGCGGTCAGAAAATGTTTACCAGTTTTGAAATTAGATTCTATATCACACTTTTTTCACTAAAGTCTAAAATGCCATATCAAGTAACTTATTACTTTTCAAAAGTAATTATGCAAAATGACGCATCGAGAATTACAATAGTAGATTATGCACCAAGGAGATAAAGGAGTGTCTAAGGTCACGGGCAGCATATTGGGCCCTGAGCGTAACGAGGGACTCTAGAGTTATGTAGAGTCCTGAGTGAAGCGATATCTACATATAGCTCATCATCAGGTGTATCATACGTATCGTACGTACAGCATTTCCTACGGTTTGCTTCTCTATTAAAATTAAAAATCAAAAGAATTTTTCTTTAAGTAGTGTTAGGAGTCATCATTATCGTATGTTGGATGCATAGACTATTTACTTTTATAAAAGCAGTAAACAAAGGTCTTGCCTCCTTATTTATGAACGTAGAATACGCTTGGATTAGTTACTCCACATTTTGTCTCTGTTCATTGAATGACAAATGGCATAAGAGTGATATGAACAAAACACAGCGTAACGTTAAAATTATTATTATTTTTGAAATATGGAATTCTTTATTGGAAATTAGTCATTTGTTTAATGCTTAGCGTTCTGTTTGCAGCGCATTTGTACGTTTTTGTCAGCATAGATGCGTTAAAAATTCGAGGCATTATGGAGTATGAGTACCGTCGTAGCAGCAAAGCGGCACGCAACATCAACGACGTATACGGAGCGAACACTACTAACGATCGCATCACCCGTTATTGGTTTGTCCGATTACGTTCTGGAAATATCGACCTAAAAAATGAACCCCGTGGTCGACCGGAAACTTTAGTCGACAATGACGAATTAAAGGCGATTATGGAAGCTGATGATTCTCAATCTACAGTTGAATTAGAAGCAGCTTTTGATGTTAGAATCAAAACAATATTGGTCCATTTACGCCAAATTGGAGGTAAAAAAGCTTGACAAATGGGTGCCCCACGAATTGAATGATCTCCAGCGCGAAGTACGTCTCCAAGTTGTAAGAGCTGGGTTGGAACTTCACCATCATCCATCGTACTCACCAGACCTTGCTCCTACAGACTTCTACGTGCTTCTATTTTTTCAAGAATTTGGATAATTTCTTAGCGGTTCAAATGTTCAATAACCGAGAGGCAGTTCAAAACGCATTTGAAGAATTTGTTGCCTTTTCCAAAAAGGGCCTCAATAAGCTACCACTACGTTGGCAAAAATGCATTGATTGTAAGGGTAATAACTTTGATCATTAAAAATAAAAAAATATAGAAAAAAGGTCGTTAACTTATTTCATGAAAAACGGAAATTTAGCATTATATTCTTTTGTAAATAATAACTAATTTGATTTAGTGTCTAAATTAAAAAAAAATGGATGCGTGTAACTTATATATGCGCGTGAGAAGTTATACTTCTTTAGCATCATTAAAAATATTTTTTAATTGCATGCAAATAATTAATAATTACAAAAAAAATAATAAAAGGACTGGAAAAGGATAGTTAACACAGTCAATTAAGTTCAGTTTTAATTTGAAAAATTAAATAAATATTCAAAATATTCAATTAAAATCACTACTGAATTTAAGTTATTAGTCCATATGTAATTAGCACTTGTAAGTAACTAAAACAGGTTGTGTCTATATAGAAACTAGAAACATGTGGATAAATATTATAAATATGAAAACAGTGATCAGAGGCGACGAGCGTGCCAACATTGTTTTTGACAACGCGATCATCTTATGGAGCTCCGTGGATCGTTCAAAGTACCTTTCGAACAGATGTCTAATAATGGTGGATTATTAACCACTTAGTGGTTAATAATCCACCATTATTAGACACTAACATTCATAACGCGCCCGCGGCCAACTTCATGGTGTTACTATTGTGTTACAGTGATGCGCGCGCATCTTAAAATTTCACTCTCATATTTTTTTCATAACGCGGCTAAAGAAGTATAACTTCAAAAACCTTTGAATAAAAAAGTCATATTATTGTTAATATAAAATATCAACTGATAAAACTTGCAGTTTGCGTAAATGATGCATCATTATCTTGCTTAGGCTCTTTTGATGAAAGTATATAGTTCAAGCTGGAACATATCATCGACGTAGTGAATTTCATTAGTCTACTAGTTTGCCCTGCCACACGTTGTTGTGGCAATATAACTAAACAAAAACAATGTAAAATTATTGCATAATTTACACATAAATTTGATACCTGAACATAAATAATTCCATTAGCAACTCGCAGCATTCTTTGCTTTACATGTCGATGTAATACTACTGAGTTTATTTAAAACGACGGTAAAGAAATTTGGGAGCTATGCTTTTTTCAAGAAGCGTCGTATTATATTAGTGATCAAACTATTAGCCGATTTTTCGAGATACTGCTGTCAAAGAGTTCTACTTACTTCGTTGTGTACGTATGTCAAAAGTATGATAGTGTGTGCAGTTTTCTTTTTGTTAATTTATGTATTTCTCATGCATCACTATATATTACAAAACCTCCCCTGGGGCCTCTGTATATGTGTTTACAATGATCTCAACAACTCCTTATTAAATCGATTTCCATTCAGTTTTCACAAATATCTATGTAGATACTTGTAGTACATGCTCCGAAGCGAGGGTCGGTTTGCTAGACTTTACATAACAAAATTAACTAACCCGTTTTCCATAAAAAAAATAATTATGCAAAAGACTAACACTCCGTTCACAGAAGATGCTTAATTTTTGACATAGTTTTTCTTTCCCATATTAATGTTGTAATAAACAAATTAAAAAATACTAATACTTAAAATTTGCCATCTTTTGTGTTGTTGACAAAGAAAATTCATAAACATCAAATATGTAACTAATAAACAAGTAGTTTTTAAAATGTTTACATTTAAACTTACAAGATACCTAACTAAAGATAAAATTATTTAAGAATAATTAGAATGCAAGTTGATAAAAATGTTTTGATGAAACTGCATGCAATGCAAAATGTCATTAAGCGTATTTAAATTACTTTTAAAATTACCAGGTAATTTTGCCAGTGTAAACTAGGTCAAACATCCTAAGTTATATAAAGAAATTCAAGAGACATTTTATTTATTCTAGATGTTATTAGAGATGGCCCAATTTACTAATAATACTATTTAATTTGCGAAAAAGGAGCCACATCAGGTTTCAACATTCGTTCAGAGCCTTTATGTCGAAAATTACCGTTAAACAGCTCTTCATGAAATTAACTACCGCATAAAATATTTTAATGTGCCGTTTGCTTAAAATTTACAGCTAATACTTACCCACTTTTTTCAGAAGTGTCCGATGATTAATCCTCTTCTTTCATAAACTTTTCCTCAACTTTCGTAGTAAAACTTTATACATTCTTTGGATGAAAACTACTGAAAGAATACTTCTAAAATAACACTCTGTCCATGTAATCAATAAAAGTTATCACTTCTGTATTTGTTTTGAAAATAATTAGCGTACTATTTATTTTTTTATTATGTCTTGTCGTGTTTACGCGTCACGGTTGGATGTTGAACACGACGGACGCACGGAGAGCGAGTCTCACGCGTCCACACCGCCCAAGCGACTGACTCAAAACTCGCCGTACGTTATGTACCGACGAAACCAAAGCTCCACGTCCCGTGTAGGCGGTCTTGGTGAGCTAGTATGTAGCTGAATGTGAAATTTTCAGACACCCAAAAAGAGAAACACAAATACTGCGAACAATACGACTTCATACCATATCGGCGCATTGTTGCGTTGCATGATTACGTCGACCACGCAATGTTACAGCAACAGGTGTTAGTCATGGAGGCAGTAAATGTTCAAAATGTACACTCTTTTCTCTAAATTTAAGAGAAAATCTTCATTAACTCACTTAGCGGTTTGAGCAGTGGGGAACGGCGCGGCCTCATTGGTGGAGCTATACCGCCCAACGCCAATAGCGCGGGAAGGAGGAGTCGACCTAATACGTCACTTGAATTTTGGCGAGCCACATCTATATAACTTTGGAACAATTAAGTTCGAATCTCTTAAATTATTAAGCCGCTTTCGTACATTTATAATCATATTAGGTATACACCTTATCCATGGCAAATAGGGAGCCAGAAATATACAACTACTGCTTAATAATTATGGTTTTAAGTTCTTATGCTTTTTTTAAATGTTTATCATTTTATTCATTCGAGCAATATACATAATAAATTGTTTATTTTGTTTTGTTATAGATTAGTCGTTTTTATCTTTACTGAGTCAAATACCACGCCTCCGCCGTCGCTACGGCGTTAACTTAAAATCATTCGCCGTGAATTTCATTACAAGGCGCGACTTCATCGGTATTGGCCAAATACATTTTAATTTAAAAAGAAAAAGACAATTAGCGTTGATACTTTAGATCTCAAATCGTAAACAAAATAATAGTAATCGGATAAACACAACAACAAATATCGAATCCTGTCTGATAACTGGCACGAATGGAACCTTTTCTAGTATTTTTTTATAATTCTTTAGTGACCCGCCGTCACTTCGTTCGTGGGCAATTATACATAATAAACTTTCAAGGACAAAGTTCAAATATCTGTATTAGAATTAGAAGTTTAATACAAGCTTTTTGAATCGTTCAAATTTTTATTTCTATATTCCATTAAGAACATTTTTAGCTGTGGAGAAAAATGAACCAAACTAATTCGTTTAGTAAAATTACACATGTTATATTATTACAGTGTCAATACAAAATCATGACACCTTTATAATAATTAAAGAAGTTCCTCTTGAATCACTTTGTCAATTGCTGAAAATTTAATTAAATTCGTGAGTACAGACAACAACAGCGATTTAGTTTATACTATGTAAGGGTAATTCTTATTTGAATTATTGATATTACGCCGACTTTATAAAGTAACTGATCCAACATTCTTGAATTCCGACCATCTACACATAATCAAATCCGGTCAAAAATTTGTATATTTCAATTGGAAGCATAATAAAACAACTCATTTCATTCAAATTTTTATTGCCAGTTCTTCCAGCCCCTCTAGCATGACCACCGAAACGGTATAATGTTCGTTTTTGAGCAGGGCGTGACACTGACACTCATATTACTGACACACGTAGGACAGCTATTTTGTCTATGATAGCGAACCGCTTATGTCAACGTAGCTGTCAAACTTCATTGATTGGGTTGGTAACATTGAAGGAATAATTGCGTTTTTCATTCGACTTAAGAATCGACTTCAACTTATAAAAAAAATAAAAAAAGAGACAAATCAGTGGGTCTAAACTGGGTTTTGTGTGTTGATGGATAGATAGAATTTACCGATTGTTAAATTTTGAATCATTTTTTTCCATATCGATTTGAGTCCTCAATCAGGCACTTTTCCAAGGTAATATAAAAAACTGCATTTTATTCGAAATTAAATTTCCTCGTTGATTTAGGTAGGTATTTTCTTTTCCTCCGCTTAGGGAGAGCATAGTTATATGTTGGAAGGAGAAAATAACCATTACAACAGGATATGATTAAGCGATATATCGGCATTAACTGTCAGACCATAGTGGAGTTTGACAGTAGTCTGACAGTTAATGTCAGTTTGACAGTAGTCTGACAGTTAATGTCGATTTATCGCTTTATCATATCCCGTTTCGGTGGTCATGCTAGAGGGGCTGGACGTTATTTTAGCAGTAGAGAAAGATGGGCGAAAAATAACCACACAAACTTAAACAAAATTATGTAAAAGGTTCGGTATTGACAATAATATGATATTTTTGTATTATTTATTGGTAGTAATTTGTGTCAATACCGAATTGGATAATAGTACCGATTTTATTGTAGAAGCGTACATATTAATTATATTGATCAATAATTATTGATTCATGGAGCCTAGTGAAGTGTAAATCTAATTTATATTTTTAATTATTAGCGAGTATCTACACATTTATTTGAAATAATTGAATATTTTATCGAACATACATTTAATAAGTATTTTTTCAGTTTGCACATCTTTCGCTTTATAGGTAGGCAGGCTTATATAGGTTCCGACACACTATGTTGGGTTCTAATTTAATTTAACAGTGAATTGCCTTTTATTCCTCATATGAACAATATCATATACGAAGGAAAAGAAAAAGAGCTCTAGCAGAAGAATATTTTAATTAAAGAAAAAAAAGTAAAAGCTCGAAAAAGTGTAAAGGAAATACGCAAGGAAAAGGAACTTCAGTTCGGAATTGTTCTACATCCGGCTGTAATTCTGCGCCTGAAGTAAAATGTAATGAAATGTAACGATTGGACACATTTGAAATGTGAGGGTGATTTTGAAAATAGTAAATATGACAAAATGAGTTCAAGTGAAGACAACGTAGACCACGAAAGGTAGAAAACTTGTTACCGCAAAAATCTAAAAAACACCTATGAAAATTTTATTCTAATGAAGAATGAATGAAAATCGATGCCCTATTTTTTTTTTGTCATACCTTATATTACTGAGTCACAATATCCTCAATAATAAAGGGTGTCCGGCCTTTTTACCCAAATGTCCGGCCAAACAGGCTGGTTTGTCCGGCTTTAGGTTCGGCGATCAGAAACGCTATCGCTTACGATTTCATTTTGTTATTTCTAACCGCCGAAATACCTCACGCTCATTTTCTTAAACATTGTTATTACCAATGCAAAAGAAAAAAAAAGAGCGCGAGGCATTTGAAAACCTCAGGGGGCTAGAAATAACAAAATGAAATCGTAAGCGATAGCGTTTTCCAAAGCAATCCAGTTAGGCGATTGGCCCCCAGGCAACCCTAGACCCAACCAATGCCGAATGTGACATCGGCATCGGCATCGTTGAAGTGTAAATTGCTTAACATTAGCGTTTATCACAGTGATGGTGTACTGTAGTTCAGAAGTAGAGCGGTAGTTAACCACTTGTACAGCGACCAAAGATATTAAAAAAAAAAAGATAAATTTCTTCAACTGAAGGGAATCCAAGCAATAAGTAATTTTTAAACTACTTATCATTATTTTTTAAGGTTTTTTTTATTCAAAGGGATGGATATGGAGACCATTATTAAAAGTAAACGTGCGCCTAAACGTGCCAAAGGAGCTGCACGCACCGCTGTCAAATCATTACCAGAGTGCATGTTACTATGGCTGCTATAAAAACAACAATAAAATAAAGTAAAAAAATATAGAGGGTCTCCGTACATGCAACGATGTCAAAGAGATTTAAAAAATACATCCGTTTTTAATCCCCCATTGCTATCGCAATGACTGTATTGCAAATATTAGTAATCTTGTACAATGGTAAAAAACACTTCATATAAGAGTTCAAAGCGCACTTAACCGGTTTTTAAATTTGGCCTTTTCGAACTAAAACCCAAATTCAACCTTTAATTAAGTACAAAATATTGACTATCTCATAATACTAGGAGACTAGAAATTTAGCTATACCCCAGTGTAACCAACTCCCAAAAATTGTACCTTTATAACTAAGTCAATACAAACCACTAGTTTTTTGAAGTGAAACTTCTTTAGGCACGCTTAATTTGGGGGGTAAACTGGCGAATGTGTTACGGTTTCGCGTTCCGATTAGTGGCATCGGTGACTCATCAGTAAACAATGAACAATACCCGTCATAAAATCTAAAGAAGCCTTACTTTAAAAAGCCCGTCCTTCTTATTTACGCATTTTTATGGGGAAACCTCTTTAGTTGGCAACTCTTTTATGGGGAAACAGGAAAACCCCTTAGGTTGATAACGCTACACGTGTCGTAAAGAATTGCAGTGGTATAAATTTGCATAGTTGGGCATATTTAGATGAGACATAAATTGTAAAAAATGTGTCATGTAGTTGTTGTATGTACACTGTGGAATTAGTCATAGTCCGGAATTCCGGATACGACATTTTCAACTATTGGAATCACTGTATCTCATTAATGGAGATTTCTATGTGGTGTACTTCAACGCCCTTCAAGCCTAACGGGTATTTTTGTAACACCCTGTATATAAAGGAAATATTTTAAACTTTTATACAGTGAAACCTTGTTAATTGGAATCTCAAGGGACCAAGAAATTTGTACCATTTAAAGAGGTTTTCATTGATCCAGTTTTCCATTGTCTCATTTACAGAGGCTTATAGAGGACGAAATGTACCGTTATCCCATTTATAAAAGTGAAAATGTTAATAAAAATTGGTATTTTTGGTGTTATGAATTAAGTTTAGGTATGCATTTATTATTAAAAAAAAACAATAAAGTTTATGACAAAGTAATCGGTTATGTTTGTTTGTATTTGATAGCTAGTTGTTTCAACCTTTTTATCAAAAGAATTAATTTCACCAAATATACTAGAATTATCAAAGGAGATTGCTCAGCTTCCATACATGTTTGGCCTAAAAACCAATAATCATGAAAAATTGTTTCCTAGATTCGAAATTATATATAAATTACTGTAGAAACGAATATTATTGACGGACACCCCTGAGAACTTCTATAAACCATATACACTGAACATATTAAAATAATAAACAACAAATAAGTTATATAGTAAACTTGGGAAATCAAGCCAAGTACCGAAATTATGGATTAACTCAGGTATATAGAGCATGTACATTAACAGATAGTTGTCTGTTTTTAAAGTTAATGCATAAGAGTAACTTTTAAAATCAGGTGTCATTTCCGGTTATAATAAAGTACTCTGTGACAGAAACTGTGTGATGATTGTGAATGAGCCACAGATTAGAGAGAATTTTTAAACTCTCGTTAACCAAAGAAAGCTAAGAGATTTAGGTTCTATAGCCATATATTCAGTAGCTTCATTATTTTTGTTATGTTTTTAAGATAACCATATTTTAGATTATTA